GTGACTCCATTTAAGAGAGTAGCATTAATGGAGTAGTATCCATCATGTGTCACTCTAGGCCATATCCTGATATTGGATATACGGCTAGTATCTACATAAGGAAATGAATTGATATTCATATACACCTACTCATCAGCAGATAAACACACACTACACACATTATATGCAATCCATGCACATGTGTGTCACATGATTGTACAAATAAGGAAAGGGATTTACCATAGGGCAATAACATAACCACACAAACAGGTCAATTGTCAGATTCATTATCTGGAGTATGTTATCACATGACACGAGTGGCTACCACATACACACATACAGAGTTCACTAGGTCAATCAAAGATGACCTTTTATCACAATATATTGCAATTATGGTAGTGAAAAGAGTGTGTACATACACACATGCTTACCAACTATTACTTCCTTCTTTGTTGTCTTTGATGCAACGACAATGTTACACTGTTGTTGATCCATCAACAAATCAAGAGGAAAAGAAAAAGACTTTTTTAAGTATAAAAGCGTATGTCCACCTGCCAAACAGCTGGATTCCACATTCAAGTAGTCCAGATATAACATATAACAGGGAACAGCTTTTATTGACCTTAATTTTGATAAAATATAAATCATAAGTTATAGTATACAACGTACTCTAATTATATAAAATAAAACTTTAACCGTATCATTTACATATTTAACCGCAGTACTTTCTATGTTGAAATCAGCTGTCACTGTGGATTTAAAATGGTTAAACTATTATCATTGTAATTTTTATAAAACTTACTATTGACATCGAAATTGAGATCATATGTCAAAGGATTGCTATCCCCTGCTTTGTTAGTAGCAACAGCAGTGAGTTGATATTCATTCCTTGGGTTAAACACGGAGCCATTAATAGAGTAAGGTAGAGTCAGGCCATTCTCTTTATAGATTGTGACGTTTGAGGAGTTCTTTACTTCAACTGTAAGTGTCGCATCTTTATCAATATTACCGGTGATCACAACTTCACTACACGTAACCTTTATCAATATATCATCTCTTGTGATATTAGGACGACCTAAATATAGAATTAAAAACTTAATATCTTAGTTGCCTAAAGCATTAAATTTAATTAGTGCATTGTAATGAAAACAAAAACAATAATCATACCTTTGACATAAAAGTAAGCAGGAACAAAGCATTCATAGTGGTCCATACAAAATATGCATACATCTATCCTGGTTCCATTCACTGAATGTTCCACTCCATTAATAGTGTAAATGAGATGCTCCCGCCCATCAGCACCATGATATATTGTCAGGTTGTTACAAGGGCTAGATAGCTTATAGTCGTTAACGAATATGATTGGACCAGTACATCCATCAGGCAAAGGAATGGAGGCATTAGCTGATATGTTACCCCCAACATAGCCGGTTGTAGTCTTTGGGCCAATGGTGCTTGCACTTTCTAGCAGCCGTCGAGTTGTTAAAATGAAATCGGACAACTTTTCTGTCAAATTGATACGGCAGTTGGTGCTGGATCTACCTGACAGCAGAGTGGAGAAGACTACCACCGAAAATAGGAGGACCGACTGAGAATGCATGTTTAAAATTCTCCATCACAGCCTCTAGGAAGCTTCTTTTATAGTACAAAGTAACACACAGGACAAACCATCTCTCAATTCAGTTCAGAGTTCACGGACAGCACAGTGAGCACACACACTTGTCACAGTAGGGGTCCTAGGGGAATTCCCGGGGAAAGTCCTTAGGTCCAGGCATAGATAGAGTTACAAACTCTAATATCTATGGTCCAGGAGGCATTATTAAAATCAATGTTTTCAATTATTATTAGCAAAAAGAAAAATAACCATCTGAACTAACAAAGCAGCAATAAAGTAAGAGTAATAACAAAGCAGCAATAAAGTGGGGATAACTAACTAAGCAGCAATAAAGTAACAGTAATAATAGCAATAAAGTGGGGATAACTAACTAAGCAGCAATAAAGTAACAGTAATAATAGCAATAAAGTGGGGATAACTAACTAAGCAGCAATAAAGTAACAGTAATAATAGCAATAAAGTGGGGATAACTAACTAAGCAGCAATAAAGTAACAGTAATAATAGCAATAAAGTGGGGATAACTAAACTGCAATAAAGTGGGGGATAACTAAGAAGCAGAATGACAGCAAAAAAGTACATGTTTATATAAAGAGCAGCAATAATAGTAAATTGCAACATTATAAGTTGCAACTTTAATCAGGTATGTTTAGTAGAGCAAAATTCCAACATTGGATATTAATTCTTGCAACTTTGTAATTGAGGCAGTCTTCCAATTCCACCCTCCAAAATATGTATTCTCTTTTGTTTCTTTGAGGCACTTTTCTTCATAATAATAGCAACCATCACAAGTCTTCATCTCTTCACATCCAATGGGGGGTACATATGCACTTGCATTAGTAGCATTCACACTTCGTTCATGACTCAAGATCTAAAGGGTTAAAAGTTCATATGGTTCAGTAAAAGGTTTAATTTCAGGAGATACTTTCAAATTCCATGGAATGTTGTAATCCCAATTTGGCCATATACAGGCCGTTCTTTTATCCCATTTTTTCCATCGATAGCAACATTCAGAAAGAGTTATTATTTCTACAGAAAATAAAAAATGTCATTGATTACCATTAATATCTTTGTTTAGATATGAGAGCTAGGAAACATAAGAGAAAAAAGAAAAAGACTGATAAGAAGCAATGACAAGAATAAAAGCCATCAGAGATGTAAATAGATCCCTACATAATATTCATAGTACACATGAATACAGCAGGAATATGTACTGTATAGCTAGGAATTTTGAAGCATTAAAATTAGGAGTGTTAAAATTTAGCAAATTGATTAAAAAATTTAAATTTTGGCAAATGGACCTCAATTTGTTAAATTCACGAAAATTTTACTCCACCAAATTTTCTAGCTATACTGTATACATACAAAATTATTAATACACATACCTAGCAAAAACAGTACAGCAATAAAGGCATACAAGCCATGTATCACAAATACACTTACAAGTTCACCATAATTAGAATATAAGTCCAGGCCAGATAATACTTTATATTATAGTTTTAACATTATACTTACTATTTCTTGAATCATCAGTCAATGTGTCATTAAATGCTTTCATAAAAAACTTCTTTGTCATTGCCTAAGCATGATACATTAATTAGTAAACAATAAAAGGTGATAATAACCTTAATGTAACAATCAAAATCAAAGTCATAGTAATAATCATCAGGCTGCAATGACATATCAAATAAAAAATGACAAGAGCTGTCCAATATCTTCTTAATTTCTACTGTGCAATAATTTTATAAAACACACACATTATTACTTTAAATTGTTGTACCATGTATATTATTACTAACCTATTTTTGGACAAAAACAGGGCAATATTGTACTTACACCAATTCCATAAGATCCAGCAAACAATCCAGTTGGCTAAATTATTATAGTTATTATCTGAAACAAAATACACTCTAACTTACATGTACATATTCACCAATCAAAGTATTGCATGGTGAACTTTTTTTACCAGTTCCAGAATCTCCAACAATCAATATTTCCATGCTTGCTTGTCTAAATGCTTTTTTAGGCTCCTCATTTCTCTTTTTTAAAGGTGTCATTACTGCAGGAAATACATATAAAAAATAATTAATTTTCATAATAATTAAGCTAATGTTTCTAAGTGTGCGACGTGTGCTATCAAATACTTTTTGATAAAATCTCAGATACATGTACATGTATATGTGAAATCTCACTTGGTAGAGCCACATGACCATTTCCTTTCTGAACTTCAGTAGTATTATAAAGCTCATCAATGTTTTCACCATTCTTTACTTCCTCATTCTCTTCTTTACCATGTGACTTCACACCAAAATTTCTTTCTTCTTCTCCTTTTGAAAAGTACTGTGATGTAAAATGAGGAACTAGCATCACATCAGAATGACCAAATTCTTCTTCACGATCAAGATTTTCAAGTGGAGTTACATCCAAATCATCAAATAAATCATGATAGAGAAGAGTTTTTTCTTCATCTTGTGTGGAAGCAGCATTAACATTGTTATCTTCATGTGGTTGATGAGAGAACGTCCAGACAGGAAGAGGAGTAAATTCAACAAAGAAATATTCTAACAAACGACTTGACGAATGATCATCGTAACCTAAAATTAAACACGTCTTATACTATTTCTACACATTATATATATATATAATAACCATCTTTTGGTTGTTCAACTGGTGATGTAACAAAAAGACTGGAAGCTCCTTTTATGTGAGATTCTTCCTCAGCTTGAGGATAAAGATAATCAACTGGTAAAGCCTGAAGTGGCACAGTAACAGATTCAGGAATAGGTCCAATGACAGGATTAGTAATGGTGTCCAAATCATCATAGGGAGGAGGAGAAATTTCTGCGGCCTAACATTAAATAATAATAATAAACACAATTACCTCATCTTTGCTTACAATAGCTGGATTGAAATCTCCATGAATAGTGTTGTTGGTGTTAGACTAAGAATAAGAGATTTAAAAACATCATCACATGTCACTATAACTGACCTCATTATGATTATCGCGATTGTAAGCATTAGCCACACCTCTCTAATGTGTATAATCATAAACATGTCACATTGTTGTTATTACTTAATTTACCTTGCTAATATCTCCAGCAACATTACTATATTCAACACATTGGTCAGTAGGTAGTGGTACATCAGTAGTATCAGTCCTTCTACCAATAACAGCATAAGTAGCAGTATTGTTAGTAACAGTAACAGTAGGACCAGTATTGAATGTGTTCTCATCATCATGTTGTATCAATGGGGTGGCACTAAAAGGTGAACCAATAGAGTCAGAGCTAGATGATGGTGAGCTGGTTTGAGTTTGCCCCTAATGATCAGAATAATAATTACAGCAAAGTTTTGACTATTTTTGGTCATTTTTCTGTATACAGTTCATGAATTTCATTATTACAATGTACACAACACACAAACAATTGTGAGAATACAATGTAATATCATAATTCATAGTGTAGGATTACTGATCATAAATTTCAGTAATAGTTTAATAGAGATAAAGTGCAATGATAGCACAGCATTAATGCTAACAAAACAAGCACACACTAGCTGTTACATAATGTTACATAATCAAATTTCAATTAGTAAAACATAATGCTTATTATTATTATAGATAATAGTATATCAGCCCCTGTCATTAAAGATTGTTCATCATTTGGATGCATATAACAATAAACATTATTCTTGCTATTTCAATAACAAGCATACACAGCATGTAATTAGTAGATGGCAGCGTTTTGGCAGTAAACAGCGTATTAGACTATTAGTATGGCTTCAACTACAAATAATAGTATTAACTCTTGTGGAGATGTAGTAGTGACATGGGAATATTGTGTGGAACAGAGTGGGTCCATAATAGACAATAGAACATGATGTTCACAGCATTGAGACCATCATGAAGTATATTGCATCATTCAATAATAACTTACATTCCTTATAGCTAGTAATTCATCAGAAGAAACATGATAAGGATCCACTATATTCCCTTGTACTGGTTCACTTGTTGGACCTGAAGATCTTTCATCATTTGACACATCAATAGATACTGTTCCAATAGGTATCTCTTGATAATGACTCATCTCTGCTTGGGGTTGATGACAGATAGCAATTTCTATATAATAATAATAATAATAATATCTCTAGTCATAATAACATCTATATACTATACCTGAAGTCAAAATAACCCCTTTCTTCTTAGCTTGTCTCTTATACATCAATAACAATGCTGCCACTATGAATATTACTATTATCACCAATAAACAAGCACCAATCACTCCAGAAATGATAAAAAGTATTGAGTTACTACCAGTTTCTGAACCTATTGTTTCATAAAATAATCACAATCAAAATTATGCATTCCATTCATACCAGGTGATGAACTGTCATCAGTTCCCTCAATAAAGTCAGTTGGAGAAGGTAATGGAGACGTAAGAACATCATTTATAGTAGAAGACATTGAATCAACAGAATTAGTGGTGCTAACTAATAATAATAATAATAACAGCAATAATAAAATTAAAATGTTTCTAACATACTAATGGATGGTGTGATAGTCACATTAACTTGTTTAGGTTTTACACAAGTCCATGGAGTAATGTACCCATTGAAAATATTATGAGCAGTAACACGATAGGTTCCACTGGTTGATAATGATAGTATTGCATGATCTAACCCAGTTATATTAAAGTATTCATTCCTTCCATTTCTAGTATCAGTAAATATCACATGACATCCATCAGCAGTTGATAATTCTTCATATATACACTGTACACTAACTGATCCATTGGTATATGTATTGTTAATGTACACATCACTGACCTGATATGTACCTGAGAGAAGAGAAATGAAAATTGTGTTATTTGTATACTTACTAATGCTGGCAAAGGCTTCCCTTTTAAGTTCATTTCTCTTATTGAAAACAGATACAGCATATTTGTATTTCTTGCAAAGTTCCAATGTACGTGCATCATTGAAAACTTTATCAGTACCAGTAATGAGATACTGATCAATAACTTTGCTACCACTGGTAATAGTTAGGGAAGTATTACTTTGTGAAGGAGGACAACTTAACTAATGAAAAAAATGAAACATGTAAATGAAGCTATAAGTACCTCAATAGAAACGTTAGTAGAAACATTAGAAGTCAGTGAATTATATTTAACTGTTGTAATATTAACAACATAATAACCGGAACCTATTAGACAATGAGACAGTCAATAAAATTTTAATAAAACTTATTTCATTTACCTTCATGGCCAATTTCAGTGTTAGTACTACTAAAACGACCCACTAGAGCTGTTACACTGATGTTAAATGCATCACATTCTGTGACATTAGGCACTGTAATATTTGTATTGATTGTAGTTGTATTCAGTATGATATCTCCATCTTCTTCATCAGTGACTAGTACTTGATAGCTAACAGGAGATCCAGCAGGAACATCATTGGAGTAATAAACAGGAGGTGACCATGATATTAATGAAGCATTCGAAGTGAAATTGAATGTGAAAATTTCAACTGGCGATATGCCTATTATAATAAAAATAATAAATAATGTAACGTAAAAAATAATCCACTTACCAGATATTGTTAGTGTACTATTAGAGAACACTTGTTTAAGAGGTGGATATGATACTATCTGACATTTAATTTTAATCCCATCATTAACAGGTAACGCAACAATAGTAAATACTGATGATAAGTTACCAGATTCATTAGTAGTAATAACTGATATATTTCTTTGTTGCTTAATGTCAGGAGACATTTGGATAATATAACCACTGGCAGTCACAATCTGCCAAAATAGGTGCGCTCCATTCCCTTCGCACTTCAATGTCCCAATTGCATAAGGGGGAAGTACTAGAACGGATACAGGCGGTGCTGTTATCCTAGCGTGGCTGGCCTCGGCAAGCTCCAGCAGTGAAGGAAGAAGAATCATGAGCAGTAACGTTAACCTCTGCCGTAACAAGCAGGAAACTATTAAGTTTATAACTAACATTTTCCCGCAGTAGAGTTATACCGGTTAACAAAAAAATAACAAGAGAAATGGCAGGATGTGGAAATATACTAGGCTAGATATAGATCCGAAATAGCTGACAATCATGTATCACGTGTTTTTTAGTCATAAATATTATTAATATTTAAAAAAATCTTAATAGTTATCTTCACCATAAAGTTTCATATACTGGAGTAGATCTGTTTTGTGCAGTTTCGTATGCTGGATTAACATCAATATGCAGCACTTGTGAGCTTGTTACAACATTCTGTTGCACTAGAAGGAGTGACAGACAGTTTATTAGGTGCATTTTAGTTAAGGCTTAATGCATTATAATTTTACCTTGTCCGTATGCTGGATTATTAGTAATCAAACCTATATAATTACAGAATGAACACTATAGATGTTTGATTGTTAGGCTATACCTGCTGTCTCTTTTTGTCTCTTCTTGAACCACCATGTAGAGGCAATGGCAATTAGTAATGCAATAATCAGTATTATACTCACTCCACCAATGACTGATAAACAAATAGTGAGTAATAGTGATGATTTTTGACTTGCATCAATTGTAGGATGATTAACTGAAAAATCAATGTAATGCTGATTTATTACTACTGATTTATTTTTTTGAAATACCTGGCATTGTTGATGAATACATCTGTGCTTCAGAGAATGCAGTACTCACATCTATAATAGATAATGATAATAGGCTACAATTGTAAATTAAGTACACTGTTGCTTACCAGTAGTGAAACTGACTATTGAAGACAATGATGGTGTTGAAGCTATCACTGCAATCAGTATGGGATGAACAGCAGGTCCATAAAATGCTCCGTTAATGATGTCATAAGCTGTCACTGTGTAATTACCAGCTGGTAATGTTACCAGTGTAAGTCCAGTTATATTAAAGTATTCATTCCTTCCATTACTAGTATCAGTAAATATCACATGACATCCATCAGCAGTTGATCCTGATACAAACACACACTGTACACTAACTGATCCATTCCCTTCAGTAGATACTAGCACATCTTGTACATTGTATGTAGCTAGTAATGAAGTACAATTATAAGATTATTATTAATTATCTTACATATTGTAGTATAGAAATTGTCTTCAATTTTCCCTCTCAAGTTAATAAGCATAACAGCTAATTGATAATGTTTGAAAGGTGTCAATGAATATTCAATAATTCTATTAGAACTGTTGATATACTCATTTATCAATACAGCACCGTTATCCTTCACAATCAATGTACATTCACAATGTGGAGATGGTGCTGATAAAATCTATATAAGATGAACAGTATATTGTATAGATAATTGTAACTACATACTTCAAGTAAAAGGTCTTGTATTGAACTATTCATTAGAGAAACAACATAACCTATAATTATTGTAATATTTACCATCATTATTGTATCCCTTACTTCCATTGTTACTGATAGTATTATCAATTGATTCATATTGATCAACTAGTGCCGTTACACTGATATTAAATGTATCACATTCTGTGATATTATACACTGTAATATTTATATTTGTTGTGTTTGTATCCACTATCGCATCTCCATCTTCATTAGTAACTAATACTTGATGACTGACAGGAGAATCAACAGGAACATCATTTGAGTAATATACAGGAGGCAACCATGCTACTTCAGCTGAGTTGTTTGAAATAAAGTTACAAATCAAATTTTCAACTGATGAAATACCTAATGTATAATAGATCTGCTTTGTTAACAATTGTAACAACTCAAGAAACTGACCTTTGATTGTTAATGTTTTTTGTTGTGAAAACATTTGATCAAAATTCATGTCAGATATCACTATGGTTTGACAAGCAATTCTTAATCCATCATTAGTAGGTAGAGCAGTGACTATTAGTACAGAAGACAGGTTACTGCCTTTATGATTATCAATAACTGTTATGTATCTCTCTTGTTTAACATTTGCTTCCAAAGTAACACCCTCAACCAGCCAGTTTAATACATCACCAGTTCCTTCACAAGTGTATACAACTGTTGTATAAATAGGAACACTTGCTGATTGAGGATGTACTGTAATGACTAGATATTGGAAATTGATCAGTTTGATATTATAAGAGACAGTTTAACCTTACCAGCTCCTTTCACTCTCATCAATATCACCAGAAAGAGACACAATCTTACTAGCTCATACTTATCCATTTCTTTTTGCTTCATCATCGCATGAAATTTATGTAGCTGCTATTTCTGACAATGCAACTGTTATTGTTGAAAGTCAGAATAGCTATTATTCTTAACAATTATAATTTAGATAACCTCTTTTTGAACCTTTATTTTCACTGTATGTTATTATACTCCTGCTCCTCCTGCATACTAAAATTACCATGCAGCTCTAATATTGTACATAGTTTCTGGTACACAAGTTCTTACATTATGTAGCAAAAAAAGGATCTTTAAAAAGTAGAAATGAGAAAGCAAAAATAATATGAAAAAATACACCAAATTTAGCATAAAAATGAAAGGGGTGAATACATGCCATAAGTATTACATACACTATATTACTAAAAACAATCAAATACAAATTATGGCAACAGCAATTAGGCAGTAAGAAAAATAATACTTAGTTTTGATTCAGCTTAATTAATTCTGGCCACATCTTGCATCTGTTCAAACTGCAAAATAAACAATTATATTTATTATATTAATGTACGTCAATTAGTATTAATTATGCTTACATTGGTCAGTAGGAATTATAGCAGTAGGCATAAGAGCCCTCCATTAGTTTCTATAAATAACAAATAGTTAATTTAAACAATAATCATTATTCACTTTTACCCATTTTTCTTTTTGGAAGGTAATGGTAATCTGTGAAATCATCTTTGTAATTGTAAAGCAGCATGTGTCCTGATAAAAGGATCTCATTAGGCCTTCCATCAGTTCTGCCAAATGTACTCTATTGTTCACAATACTATCATACAGACACAATAATTTTATATTCATTACTTATTTCTAAAAAACTTCTTCAGTTTTTTGCTTGTCCAAATTAATATCATATAATATACATAAAGAAATGCACCAATATCTGTGTTATCTCTCATCAATAAGTTTACACACAGAACTGTTCCAGAAAAAAAAAATACATAAATGATCACAAGAATCCACCCTAAAAATAACAAATAACATTACTTGCCATTTCAATTACACAGCCTACATTTAAATCCTCTACGAGGTTTATTAATATCGTCAATACTGTTACCACTATGATCATCTTCTCTATAAATACATGTATTATAAGATTGATACATGTACATTTTAAGAAACCTTTGGGCTTTAGTGTCAAATTTCAAAGGCTTGAAACAATTCCTAGTGATCCATCTACGATCTCCTCTAATTGATGTTAGTAATTCCCCTATTGTACATATGCATGTAGATCACCACAAATAATATTATTAAGTGATGCATGAAAAGTAATGTACAGTAATATGACCATAAGTACTGTATAGTGGATAATTTTGGAAGGGCTAAAATTTGGTGGATTACTAAATTTTGGTTATTGGCAGATTTTTAATTTGGCAAATTTGTGGCCACGTGCCATTGAGCATGCGTATAATGGCTCAAAATGGCGGGTTTTTATTTTGGCAAATGGCCATCAATATGCCAAATTCGCCAAATTTAATCCCCTCCAAAATTACCCACTATATGGTATGAGGCACACACACAAACATCGATTGAACCACATGCATGAATGTATTTTAACACTTACCAATGTTATCATTATAGCTGTTTTTACAGGAG